TGGGGGAAGGAAACTGACTGACTACGACAGACTAAGACAGTCTAAGATAACCATTAAGGGCAAAAAAAAATAAAATACAGACAGTACAAATGCACTGTCTGTAACAGATCTGGCAGGGAAGTGGTTAAAATAGGATTTTTATTCACTGGTGATACTTTTTAATTCTCTCTGGAACAGCTGCTGCAACAAACTATCATGATCTCTGTCTCTCTCCTCTCACAAAACGCTACAGAGGGGAGAGAGGCAGAGATCAGTGTCAAAGTGAGTGTTTGTAACACCCACTTTGACACCAGCCAATTGTGAGCGATCGCGGATCGCTCACATGCCGCAATTGGCTGTTACTATCTGCCTGGGATGCCGGGCAGATAGTAACAACGGGATTTCGGCGGAAGTGATCTCAGATCACTCCCGCCGCCCGTTTTCCATTAGGACGGTTCAGGACCGTCCTCGGTCGGCAACGCAAAAATGCCGAGGACGGTCCTGAACCATCCTGTGTCCTGAAGGGGTTAAGGATGTGCCAATGTTTTTGGATAGTTTTTTCACAATTTTGTTATTATATATAAAGTTAAAGATAATGGGCATTAAAGGTGGGTCTTTGTCTTTTTTGGTATTGTACTCTAGGAGATCTTGTCTGTCTTTTAGTTTAAAAGCTTTGAGAGAAGTATCTAAATTTTCTTTTTGGTAGTGTTTGCTGATAAATTGTGCTTCCAATGTTTTAGCTTGTTCATCAAAGTCTATATTTAAGAAACAATTTCTGCGAAGACGCAGGAACTGGCCTTTGGGGTCCTGCGTCCTGAAGGGGTTAAAGACAAGACTGTTATTGGGACTCTCACTATTTGATATAATTTTATTTTGTTTGTGTATTTCCCATACTTTGGCCTTAAATTTTAAATTCACCTTGAATTCACTTTGAAAACCCCAAAATTCTCACATTAGTAAATATCCCTGATAACCTTTTGCCTTTCTTATATTGTCTGAGAGACTATTTTCACTCATGCAGTTGGACTGGTAGCATAACAGCACCCAACCTCTGTACATTAAGTTCAGACATAACACCATGAGTCACAGAATAATGATGATGGATTACCTTGCCCATTATTTATTCATTTCACAAGAATGTAACTACCGTACGTTCCTTGTACTTTGCGTCATATTTTCATTAACAAACTTTATTGTCTTGGCCCTTAAAAGCAAGAACAAGAAACATAAACTATTCATAGTGTTTGATTCAGGTTTTATACAATATTACATAATAAGCAAATTGTATAGTTCCAGTTAGCTTTTCTTTTACAGCAGTCTAGTTGGTACATGAATTTACATGACAAACCATGCATCCTGTATATTTATGTACTTATATATATATATATGTAGAATTATTATATAAGGTGCAAGGTGTCTACCCATGAAATTGCATGTCCATCAGATACACTGATCATTCACAACATTAAAACCACCGGCCTAATATCATGTAGGTAACCATTGTGCTGCCAAAACAGCTCTAAAGCATCGAGGCATGGACACCACAAGACATTAGCAGCAGATGAGTCCTGCAAGTTGGGAGGTGGTGCCAACATGGATTGGATTTTCTGTTCCAGCATGTTTCACAGATGTTCAATCGGATTGAGATTTGCTTCTCAAACTATTCTGGAACAATTTGTGCAGTGTGGCAGGGTGCATTATCCTGCTGAAAGAGGCCACTGCCATCAAGGAACACCACTGCCATGAAGGGGTGTACGTGGTCTGTACCAATTTCTAGGTAGGTGGTACGCATCTTCTTCCCTCTCTACTCAATCCCCCTCCCTCTTGTAGCCAACACGTGCTCTAAGAACATGAAACAAACCAATTACAGTATTTTCTATGAGAAGGTGGATGCCCCGATGTGGCCACTGCCCAACGGGGGGGGGGGAGGGAGGGGGGGTAATGCCCAGCCACCTTACCACCACCACTTTGTCCATCATCTCTGCTACCATGTGCAATGCCACACCTCCCTGCCACTCACTAGGAAAAACGGCCTGGATAAACCTGGGCCAAAAGAGCTGTCTGCAATTTCCACCCAGGTGTAGCACTATGACATGGGGGAGGGATGGGGCACCCAATTCTCGCCTGTGCATCCTGTAACAAGGCCGAAAGCTCGGGCCAGCATAGACCTTGTCTCCCCAACCATCTGACAAACACTAAAGAAGCATCAAATCCCAGATTCTTTCCCAGAGGAAAAACAAGTCCACGAAAAGAAGCACAGTGAGCAGACAGCTCAGAGGAAAATGCTCCCTCGCCAGCCACCCGCCAGTGCCGTCCACCCAACAGCCCCACTAGAACCCAGGGAGAAAGAGAAACACCCCCCCAGCATTCCCAAAGGTAAGGAGGCTGCGGAGGGCAGCACAAAACCAGGATACACCACTGCCGCCAACCACAAAACCCTATTATTGATAGTGAGAAAGCGTGGACCCATTCTCATGGACAGAAACTGGCAAATAAAAAAAACCCGGTTCATCCTTATCAGTCTTAGAATGAGGGACAAAGCATAACACTGCCTGAGGAGACATGGGAATGCAGTGACAAGTTGGCGGACCACCAAAAACAAACTTCATTAAAATCCAGCAGAAATTTTCAGACTTGCAGATCTTTTAACATGTCTGCAGACAATGGGATCTGGGCCTTGCTAGAAGTGCCAACTCCAAGGGGCAGCTCTAGGCACCAGTTAAACACCAACCCCATGGGGATAACTTTGTAGGCGATGTCAAGGAAGCCCAGCAGTGACCAAGGTATGAGCCACAACAACCACACAATCCAAAAGCAGTATTTTGTCAACCTTGTTGTGTGGGAGCATACAGGGCATGAGAGAAATGTCTGTTTTGATGCTCAACAAAGATGGAACCCAGGAAGATCCTCAGACATATCCACAGACAGGGTAACCACAAACTCAGCCATATTCTGCCTAGTTACCAACATCAAAAAGGCACAAAGGGTAAATCAACAGGTCCCATCAGCAATAAATAATCTAAATAGTGCATCAGCGAAGTGCTGCCCAGCACCGTTGCAACAGTCCAGTGTTAACACAAACTGAAAGCTTCAAAGAATGCACATGACACCAAGCAGTCCATAGGAAGGCAATGATCAATGTAATATATCATAAAACTTTTATTTTTGCCACGTTAATACTGGGTCGAATCAGTTATGATGGCTAAATATATACACAACAGACTAACTACAAAAGCTACAAGCAAAACTCAGATTTGAACTTTGTCTTGGCAGAACCCCTAACATTAAACACAGCAGAGCCTTTGGATCCAAAGCTAAGACATATGTTACAGGTAATAAAAGGTCCAAACTTGACAACATAACTAAGAGAGGTATCATTAATGAATATGAAAGAGGGTGTCAAGATTTAGAATCCTAAATCCAGAGACGGGGGAAATAAAAGTGTTTATTTTAAAGAAGCAATAAGTGAT